TATTTTCTTCTCTGCACACAAACCAGTACCTTTTATACTTATCTCTGTCTTGTGGACGTCTTTGGCTGCAAACAGCAGCTGAATTACTGGAGGGTGGTCACTTTGTCAATGTGTAGAAATATACTTCACTTTGACTTAATCAGAAGCACAGTGCCTCAAGGTTTATAGCCAGAGACATGAGGATACTCTTTTCATAAAAGTAACTTATTTGCTTACTGTTCTTACTGTGTCTGAAGTAGCAGCAGAAATAAAAACATGCTTTTGTTAGGTAAGTCATTAGACATGGCTGACACAACATAGAGAGTGTCTCTGCTCAGTTTGAATAGATGAATGCTAACTCTTGGAAGTTCTGTATGAGCCTCACTATTGAAGGTTCCCTCCAGGTGCTGTCTGCCAATAAAGCTCATATTTAGGAAGCTCAAGATAATACAAACCACGTTAGCAAAAGGAGGTTTACATAAAATGCACTAGGAAGAGTACTTACCTCTGTGAGGCAACATGGGGCACCCACAGTGTCTGCTGCCTTTTTAGTGAGACATTAGATCACTTTAGTCATATAGTTAAAATAAAAGCATGAGCTGATTAACCATCATAAAAGGTTGTCTGGCTGTCTGACAGTTTACACTGGTACTGAGGAATGCTGCAGGGGAGCTGGAGCTAGCTCTTTCACAGCAAAATGCCTCAGAGATGGTCCAAAGATGAAGACATAAGTTAGTGCATCTCTAATGGAAAAACCCTATTGTGGAAATAATCACCCAATCCTGTGTGGAAGATATGATGGCCTGAAAGATAAAATGCATGTAACAAAAAGAAAAGATGGCTCTCAGACTGACAGAAAGGACAAGAGAAGGCCCTAAAGGGCAACGTCAATAGATGAAATAGTGGATTTCACAGTTCTGTTGAACAAGTTCGGCATCGGATCCGTTGTGAGGCACGGGAAATAAATATGAGAGAAAGGCCTACAATGATGGCTGTTAAGCCTTTGTAAATAGAAGCCCAACAGTCAGTTGTTGCTTGACTTGAAGTTGTAATATACAACAAATAAATCTTTTTTTTTTTTTTTCCTCTTTGCAGAAAATGGATTAGGTACAAACCAGACAGCCTATTGCTGTTTGACTTAAGTCCAGACTGTAATATCCTAGCTAAAAATGTCTTAGTTCACAAATTGTTTCATGAGCTTAAGCTTTTGATCCAAAATATTGCCAGATCTGTATCACTACTGTAATTCTTATTCCATTTCTTCTCTTTTGTGCACCTGTTTACCCATGAAGAGCCTAACCTTGTGAAATCTCTACATAAGGCTTGTGCAGATTTTTGCTTACATCAAATCTAAACTGAAACTTAAACCTGGATAGAATTGTTTCCCCCCACCCTTCACAGTTTCAGTTACATTGGCACAGGATTCTATGTTACTGGAACAACACAGAAACTAACAGAACTACAGTGGTTTAGTAAGAAGCAGAAATGGAGACAAGCCTTTTCATTTGAAAAGCTATATAACATGGCATTTGATCACATTAAATACTTGCATCAAAATTCCATTGATCTCACTATTAAAAGCTCAACTACATTCATAGTAGCTTTAATAAGATTTTTTTTATAGTTAGTTATTTTCTCATGTACTTGTTTTATTCTGAAAAATGCAAAAATGTAAGGGCACTTATGCTACAAAAGATTTTTGTAGCATAGCAGAGACTTCACTCTTGTTCAAATCTATTGCTACAGGAACTGAAGCCAAAAAGTGCGGGATGAACAAGGCATCCTGATATCCCAGAAAAGTCCAAAGTATAAGGGAAGCAAAATGTGTAATTGTCTCATGCAGTTTTCTTCAACGTGTCTTCTGAATTTTATAGGGGGTGGGCACAGAGGTGGGAATAAAGCAGGAGATAAACATCCACGTGTTGGTATGTCTTAACTCTGTGGGTTTGTGTCTTGAAAATATAGACCAAGGAGAAGTCCCAGACAATATAAATGGAAAAACAGACTGAATATGAGTTCTGGATTTAAATAAAGATGCTTGGTATGTACTCCTTGGTGCATCTGTATGCTGCCATGTGTTTCAGAACCCTGACAGAATCCTATGGGAACATGGCTTTTTCTTTGTTTCTTTTCTCTGTATTGTCTCAATATATTAATTTATTGTCTTTATTAATTTTAGTTTATACATCTAAATATAATTAGTCATAGAATGTTTGGGACTTCACAGCACCTTTCTTTGACTAGCAGAAACATCTGGCTTTTGCTTCCACTGTTTACTTTCTGTATAGAGCTTTAATGGTTTCCTTGGAAGTGTGGAGATCAAATCCAAATAAAGCAGAACTTGAATTACTTTGTTAGGTCACATCATTTTAATGTGGGACTCAAGAGGAATGGCCAGGAAATTTACTTCTGGTGAGTGGGTTGGAAGTAACAACAACTTAAAATGCTTCTGCAGATCAGGAATGGAGCAGACAATGCAGAAAAAATCTAGCTGGACATAACTGGATTACTTGAGATGTGTGGTGCAGCTAGGCCTTCTACTAGTTAATCAGTTAATGTTTTAGTATTGGATATTGGTTTTAGTAGGAACAGCCTGCTGAGGTTGGTAACTATCAGTTTCTTGTCTTACAGTACAGCATGTTGCAGGTCTTGCTGTCATCCCAATCACAGCATTCAGCTCTGATTGCATGTCGTGCAGATTTCCCAACAGACTGACAGAAGCAGGCGTGAATTCATGATACTAGGTTAGTGCGTGAACTGAGATGTAATCCAGGGAATTACTTCGTTTTCATTGGAATAGAGGAGGCTCTACCAGATTTAAAAAAATAAAAAAGGGGGAGGGGGTGTTAATTAATTGTTAAAATTGTTAAAATTAATTGTTTTAAAATTTGGGAAGTTTTATGTTGCAAACACTGCTTCATTTCAGAAAAGCATTCACAAGACTAGCAATTATTTCCATAAGCCTTTCAATTGGTAGGAGACTGAATGGGAATCACTGCAAGAATACAGTAGTGAATAAAATACTTGTCACCACATATTTATCATTTCAAATACTAAACAAATCAGCAGTGATCAAACACCTTTTGCATCTGCCAGTCATCGTATAGACTGTTCTTTGGAGCAGGCCCCTTCAATTTGGTGTTATTTGTCTGTTTGCATCAGAAAGCTATTCATATTGTGACTAATTCTACCTGGAATTCTTTCCAGCATCAACAGCGTGACACTGTTCTGACACATTTAGAATAGACATTATGCTAGGCATGTAATATACTAGTACAAACTTCTCCAATGACCTGACGATGCAGAATTTATTCTAGGTGCAAGTAGAAGACTGGGCCCTCTCTTGCATTATGTCATTAGCCAAGTGTTTACTGTCCCTTAGCTTCTATCCATTTTTAGAATTACTCTTAGTAATGAGATGAGAACTCAGTTTCACCTTTGATGTTTGTGTGTCCTGTTGAGCCTGCTCAGCCTGGCTGGAATACAGGAGGAAAAAAAAAATAAAACGATGCCTGTTTTGGTCCCTGCTGGAAAATAAATGAAGAAGGGTAAGAATTGAGTTTGATTTGTACAAAGCCAGGTTGGGGAAGAAATGGATATATTCCATCCTTAGTTAATGGGTACCAGCTGCATTTAGAAAAAAATAAAAATAATAATAATAATAAAAGAAAAAAAACACACAGGCTCTCCCCCCCACCCCCACCACCGAGGAAAAATAATAATAAACAAATCCATTCAGGTAATGATATCTCTGCAGGATAGTTCTTATTCAAAATCAAACAAACAAAAAAGTTGCTAACAAGAAAAAAATAATAATTCTGCAGTTTTAGCCCATGTTTTACCATAGTTCTACCATTAGCAGTTTTTCATTACATGATACAGGTTTGACTACTACTCTCCATATGAATATCAACAAAAGAAAGGACCTTATCCTACACCTGTTAGAGGTGTAGGTGGCAGAGTATGTTATGATGTGTAGTTGACAAAATGTAGAGTGAGGCCCCAACAACCAATCTTCAGGCATGTATAATTTAAAAGACTAACTCTAAAAATTTTAACCACAGTAGGAGTTTCAATGTGGAGATAAGCTTTGGTCCATATGTAAATGGGGTATGATCAAGCTCTAACTTCCAAAGTCAGATGACGTTAATATAAAATCTATCCACGGGCCTTTTTCCACTGTCTTCAGCAAGCATTGGATGACCGTTCTCCTCACAGGGTGAGAAACCTGTGGAATTGAAAAGCAACAGGAGGAGAATTTGCATGGCAGAGCATGCTGTCTCTGGGACAGCATCCTCCAAAGTGCTTCAGTGTAACCTGGGATGCAGGAGACACTGCTGCCAAGTGTGTCTCCTGGTGCTGCAGAGCAAAATACTGGTGATCATAGCTGCAATAGAGCGTATGGACTGGAGGGCAGGTTTGAAGCTAAAACATGAGTTGGGTCTTGCCATTTGCTAAGGAGAAGCTGTGGAGATGGGTAATGGAAAAGGTATTTTTAAAAAGTGTGTGTGTGCATGTGTGGGGGGGATAAAATGGGGGAAAAAAGGTATCTATTTGAAATATTTAATTCAACCTGACACAAAGCAGGTTGCTTTTTCTTATAGATGCTTCTATTTAACACTTATTCAACTCTAATTTTAAGCAAAGCACTGGTTAGAAATGCCCACGTAGGCTGTTTCTGCGTCTTCCCAGTGTAACTCGAAAGCACCCACATTGTTTCCACACTTTCCAAACGTTCCCCCCACATTTTTTTTATCCCGTTTTTGTCCCACCTCTCCCTCCTCCCCAGCTGCAGCGATCAGCTGGGGGTCAGGGGTCGGTGGGTCCCCTTTCCACTTGCCGCAACTGAGCCCCAACGAGAAAAAGAAGCGAAGGCGAAGCCCCCCCGGGGGGCAGCAGGTGCGCAGGGAGCCGCCGCTGCGGGCCGGGGCCGCCCGGGGAGGGGCTGGGGATGCTCGGGCGGTGATGCTGAGAGGAGGAGGAGGGAGAAGAGAAGGAGAAGGGGGGAGCTGGTGGGACAGCCTGAGGTGGGCGGAGGGGGGAGGCGGGTGTTATACCATCGCTCCGGGGAAGGCTGAGCATTTGCAAATTCCGGCTGCGGAGCGCGGGCAGCCGGGGAGCATCCTCTCGCCGCCGGCCGGCCGGGCGGCAGCCGCAGCGCAGGACGAGGCTTCCCGGTCCCTCGCTCGCCGAACGCTGCCCGCGTTATCCCCGCCTCCCCCTGCCCGCCTCTGCCGCTAGGTGCTGGCGGCCGCCGTGCCCCGTGCCTCCCGTGCGACCGAGCGGAGAGCGGCAGCCCGCGGAGGTCCGCTGGGAGCAGAGCACTCGGCTAGAGAGCCTGTCCCTCTCCCAGCCGTGCAGGCATAAGCAGAGCCCTGGGTGAGTAAACCGGGAGTTCCCCTACTTCTCCAGGCAGGCCAGAGCCGTTCAGGCCCCCTTCTCCACATCCCTTTCTTCCTCTGCTCTTATTCGTGTGCTTGGAAGGTGCAGTAGATTCTTGTCCTCTGCGAGATTATTCAAGCAGGGATCCCTGCTTGGGGAGGGATTTTCAAAAGGTTTCACTGCCCAGCCCTTAAAACAGCGTCCTACTCCTAGCTGTCTGTGTCAACTCAGAAACATTGTTCCCTTCTCCTCATGTATAAGCTTTCTCTCTCTTGCTTTCTTTTGCATTTTCCCACTTTTACAATTTTCCTAGCTTTACAGAATTTCCTCCTTCACTTTCACCTGTAAATCTATGTAGGCAATAAGTATTTTGAAGCTAGTGAAGCTAAGGGTCTTCTTAGTCATTTAATGTTGTTGTTAACAAGTGACTTAAAATATCTGCATATTTTTCTTTCTTCTCCCATAGGCTGAACAGTCATGACAGCTGAAAAGACTATTCCTATAATTAATGGCAAGCCAGAAGATGTTTTAGACCCAGAAGCCTCAAGTACCAGCCTTGTCCACAGCAACGATAAGAAAGTTCATGAAAGAGGCCACTGGAACAATAAGGTTGAATTTGTGCTTTCTGTGGCAGGGGAGATTATTGGGTTGGGAAATGTATGGAGATTCCCATATCTTTGCTACAAGAATGGAGGAGGTAAGAATGCATCATATATTGATTTACAGCTCACCATAAGCACCTAGGGAATAAACTCTTAAGGATGTTTTAGAGTGATTCCTTGCACTAGTAAGAGAGATGTGGAGGAGACTAAGAGGATTTAGTGTATGTGTGGGTAGGGAACTATTAAACATATGAGTACCAAGAAAAAAATGTGATGTTTCCCTTCTCCCCAAATATTGTATTTTTTTTTTTAGTAGAAAACTTGTATGTTTTCCTGTATTATTTTTTTTTAATGCAGAAGTAATCAGTTAAAATAGAATGTTGTGTTTTCTTCTGCATGTGGATTTAGACTCAAGCATGCTTATCTAGGTATGACGTAGAAAAGAAAGTAGCAGTTCATTTTTCAAAGCGGCATAGTTTGGAGGGGATGAATATTATTTCAGAGGATTCTACTACAAGAATTTATTTATTTATTTATATTGGTCATAAGAAAACTCCTTTAAGTCAACCATATTTCTTCTAGCCATTACTTCCCAAATCAGTACTGTAGGTTAAGGGAAGATATAAAACTGTCTCTCAATGAGGAGACTTAAGGTCTGAATCAGTGCTAGTGTAAGCATATATCCTGGAAGAAAAGTAATATGTTCAGTGGCTGATTTATGCAAAGGTCTCTTTAACGGGTTTGCTAACAGAGCTGTGCCAAATTTCCTTTCCTTGTTCCTTAGGCATAACACGTTATAATTGTGTTTTGGCTTAGTGAAAAAGTTGTTGCTTAAGTATCTTACTTCATGGCTACTGCATTCTTTAAGAATAGAATTAGCATGTGTGGTTTGATTGGTCGTGTCCTGACACCATGGGAAATTTGCCATTGACTTCAGTTTTCTTTAGTGTTGGCTTGGTCTTTGATCTTTGGCTATCACCTGTATTTTTTTTTTGTAACTCTTTAAAATGCCATACTGGAATTAGACCAGAACTGGGTTTGATGCAAAATTGTTTCAACAATACTGAAAACTACTTAGTCTATAATATATGAAAACAACAGTCAGATATGTGAGCTAGTTATGAAATAACTTCCTAGGTACAGAACAAATCCGGAAGCAGTAGTAGGCAACTTTGAGGTCTGAGCTTTCTCTGGCACGTGCTCTAAACCATAACAGGCAGTATAGGCGTGAGCTTCTATAACTTTATCAAGTGTCCATAATAACAAATTATTCTAATTAGGAAAACTAATTCATTTTAATGTTTTGCATTAGGTATTTCTTAAACTCTTATCTGTTTGCAAGCAGTGAACCTTGATGCCCTTTGATTTTTCCTGATGTTATTTATCTATCGTAAAGGAGTTGGAGAAAGAGAATGAAAGTCAATGCCTTAAATTTCAACAAGTTTCCTGTGAAGTTCATTAGGTTTGAGCATGAGTGGGCCAAGCTGGATTTTGTACTGGACAGCAGTTCTCAAATTATATCTTGTAAGGATTTTTTTTTAAAACCACTTGTACAGTGAATCACATAGAGAAACTGTTTTTAGGTGCACAGATAACATTCTTTGTAGTCTGCGTGTATTGTTTGAGATACAACTGAGATTCAACTATACACAAACTGTCTGGCTGAGCTAAGAGATTACTCATGAAGATATCTCTATTGATGTGCTTGGTCTGAAGAAAGTAACTGCAAGACAAAGCTGGTATATTTAGTTGTGTTAACTTTGTCATTGAAGTGACTAAAGTAATACTATTGTTACAGGTTGTGGGTGTATTTTGTTGTTGTTTTGTCATTTTTTTTTAATGTTCATGAGCAGGATACCTATTTGTATTGCAGCTGTAGAAATTTTCCTAAAGTATATTCAGAAATGTTTTGTTCATAGTTTAGTTTCTGAGACTTTTAGTATTACAGAAGTAGCTAGTAAGGTGTTATTCACTAATGATCAAAACAGTCTTTCGGACTCTCATTGGAAGAGTACTTGCTATTGCTAGTACTCTGAAGAACTGGTCAGTGTATGCAGCAACGTAAAATATATCTTGCTAGGAAAAACTTCTGTGCAGTACTTCACTGTGCTGCGTTAAACCAGTAAGTCTTTGCTTATCAGTGTAAGTAAAAATGTCAGAAACAGTTATTTTATGATTTCTTCTTAATATGCGTTTTCTCCTTTCCTTGTTTCAGTCTCAGGCAGATAGTAGCTTGCTTTCCACATGATCCTTTGACTCAGGAAAAAATCTAAGTAGCTGGGGAATGAGGAAAAAAATATTTTGGCCTTATGTTAATGGATTCTCTATGTATTGGAAAGACTATATTTCATTCCTTGTTATTTAGGTTCAGTTCTAAATGGAATGTGTAAAATCCACATTATTAGAAAGTAACATTATGCCTAACATGGATCTTCTGTCACTTCTTTTCTTCTGCATACTTCAGTGATGTTCTTTAACTGCATACCTAATAACATGATTAATCGTGAAACAATACAGTACTTCTAATGCTCCTGCTACGTGTTAATAAGAGAATGGTGTTTTGTTATATATAGCTCTTCAGCACTGAATTGTACTGCTCGTTATCCTTGATGAACTTTACTGTCAACATGTAATGAAAAAGTTGATGGTCAACTTCTAGCTGATAATGCCAAGTCCAGCTTTCTTCCTGTGTGTGAGGTTTATTTCAAAATTCCCTTCTTACAATTTTCACCACCAGGTTTATCTAAATAACCTGCACAGTACTTCTTGGATTTCACTTTCATAATGCTCCTTCTTCCCTGCTTTCCTGAGAAGAGCAAGAAAGAGAAGAGAAGATAGGGTAGACTGATGATGATCAGTGTGGGATGATGTGGTTGAGCAAGACTTTGGTCTTTCCTGTGCTTGAGAGAAAGATTAGCAGAATATAGCCTATACTGAGAAATTTTGTTAAGGTTTTTAGGGGGAGAGAAGGGGGGGGGGGGAAGGGATGGGGGGGAGTTTTTGTGTGTATGGTCTGCCTCTTTTTTTTTTTTTCCTTCATGATAGTGGCCTAACTTTTGATATCTGGTGCTATGAATAAACACTTTCTGCACTTCTAGCACAACACCTGACAATTGGTTAACAGATGATTCTTCCTTTATTAGGTAAACAAACTTCTTACTAAACTGTCAAGAAAGTATGTTCATTATAACAAATACCACCTCAATGTTTGCTTGTAGGTGCTTTCCTCATCCCGTATGTGGTTTTCTTTATTTGCTGTGGAATACCAGTTTTTTTTTTGGAGACAGCCTTGGGACAGTTTACTAGTGAAGGAGGCATTACCTGCTGGAGGAAAGTTTGCCCTTTGTTTGAAGGTAACAAACTTTTCTGTGTTCTACTGCAAAAGAACGCATTAAGTTTTTTGTTTGTTTATTTGTTTTTTAATCAGTATTGAATTTAGGATATACTTAAAGTGTTTGCTTTTAAATTATCCAAAAAGTAAAAGGTTTCTATTCTCTCTCTCTCCCCTCCAGGAATTGGATATGCTACCCAAGTTATAGAGGCACATCTAAATGTATACTACATCATCATTTTAGCATGGGCTATATTCTATCTGTTTAACTGCTTTACTACAGAGCTTCCTTGGGCTACGTGTGGGCATGAATGGAATACAGGTAAGACCTCAGTAGAGATCATTGCTGAACAAATGAATTATTTCCAACTAATTGATAAATTGTTGGGAACAGAACTATTGTGGTAGAAAACTCTCTGCAAATGGATCAGTGACATCACGCTACGTACATCATGATAAATGAATCCTGGAGTGAAAGCTTAGTGATTTATTGTATAAACATTGTGTATTAAGTGTGTGTGTGTTTATATATGTGTGTGTATGTGTATATATATATATATATAAGTATAATACGTATAATATACGGCATTGTATAAGCATTTGTTCCTGTGTAATATAATGTCAGATAGGAAAAGAAGGCTTTGTTTTTTGTTAATTCTGTAAAATATTCTGGCTAGATCCCAGGATTCTCATTTGCAATCATATCTATTCTCCCTGAATACAGTGAGTGAATTCAACTGCAGAGTTGATGACAGGTTACAATCTTGCTCTTTAACTCTGTGAAATCAGGAGTTTAAATGGAGAAGAAAGTATTAAACAAAGAGCTGTGGATTTGCTCTTTTTAATACCAAATGTTAAGGAATAATGTGCCTAAAGCTGCCTCTGATAACTTAGTCAAATAATCCTTAATGCATGCAAAGTAACCTCTTGCATCAAAGATGAGGTGTGTATTCATAAGGCTTTTCAGTATAGGGTCTGCATCTGTCCTTTCACTGATAATTTCACGTTACTGATAATGCTCTACTTTTTTTTAGTGCATAACAAATGTTTATGGGTGAGAATACATACTAATGCCATTATTTATAGGCTCCTACAGTTTTTACTTGTACCTTTATATTAGTCTGATTTCAAATCATATATCAATTATACATTCATAGTTTTTATTAATTGGACGTTATCGTGTTTGAGCAAACCTAAAAGTGTCTGAAATCTGTTGCGTTTTAGGTTATGTTAAGGAACTAGCTCATCACCCAATAGGTGTGGAAGGTTTCAGTATAATTTTTGGCATCCCTGCAAAGGAGCTTAGCCAGCATTGATCAAACAACAAGTGTCATTTCAATAATGCTGAGCTGTTCTGATCTTCTTTTTCAGTATTAGAGATAATAAGTCAAAGAGTGACTTTGCACTTGTCGTGTTAAGGCAAAGTGGAAGCTTGTTGCTGGCAGTTTCATAAGCCAATCATTGTCATTGGCTATTGAACCATTGGTTGGAGTAGAAGTGTGTTGTGCTTCTCAATCAGTTACTTCAGTTTCTCAAAGCTTCTTTCTCTTGCCTCAGATGTTTTGTTTTATTGGTCTTTGCCATTGCAACCATGCATTTGGAGAGCATTACAGGAGAATGTAACATACTGTGTGGATATTTTTCTAGTACAGGTCTATGATCTTGTGATCAAAATATGCTGTTGCAGAAGTAGTAGCTGACACATTTTAGAGCACCTAGAAATCCTTTTAACCACATGGTGCAAATCTGTTATAGAATGGTGGCTTTACAAGATGTACAAGAAAAAATGTACATTTACATGTCAATATAGTAAACACTTTTTTGTTGTTCTTTTACAGAAAACTGTGTGGAATTTCAAAAACTTAATATGAGCAACTGCAGTCAAGTTTCTTTACAAAATGCCACTTCTCCGGTGATGGAATTTTGGGAGTAAGTGCACATAAACTTTATGCTTGATCTGACTGTTCGTTATCTTCCAATATTTTGGTTGTTTACCTTAAGATACCTTATAAGCTTATAGCACTTAGTGATATGAGTTCAGCTGAAAATTGTCTCATCCAGTCTAAGAGAGTCAGGATGAGAGGTTTAACTCTTTTTAGTAGATACAAGGAAAGGAATTCCATATTCTGAAAGAACATAGAACAAAGTGTGCCACTTGCTTGAGAGCTTGGCTCATGCTGCTGGAGGAAAGAGCCTCAAACACATACTAATGAGGCAGAGGTGAAAGAAAGAGGATGATTTTAATTTATTTTTTTCTTGGGGATGTTTCCTCTCTTTTAACGGTTGCATCTTCATCCTTGTTTGAGCTAACAAATATTATGTCTTTATCTTACTTTTGAATGAACTGTGTAAGTGTTAGTTATTTAGCTGTAATGATAACAGGAGACCTTAACTCTCTTGTCTCTGATTATGGTTTCCAGTTAGAGTAATAGCAGATAATTATCTCTTGACAAAATATGGACTGCTATTGTGATGACACATTTTTTCTAACTATAAATATTTAATTAGTGCATGTGTAGTTGCATACTTGTTCCTTGCAAGGCTCAGTGTTTGTTAAGACAGTCACAGAAATGGAATGCTACTTTTAATATGAAGTCACCTCACAATTCAAAGGAACGTGTTACAAAATTCTAGGTTACTAAATATTCTTGAGGGCCATTGTAATTTACCAATTCTATTAATGAGGTAGAAACTTATTCTGAGGCTATATGCTCAGTTTTTTTTAATTTTTCTTTCCAGAACTGCAATAGCTACACTTTGAAAGGGCTATAAATTAAGACTATCCTACAAAGAGAACTCTACATTGATGTCATTTTTTGAATGTTAGCGTATGCTACTGTCTTTACTTCTGAATCTCTTAGTCTTGCTACCTCAGTTTTCTTAGTCTTTGTGGGTAGTAGTTATTGATTCAGTAAATAATGCTATTATATTTATAATATATATATATGTAAAATACACATATAAGGCAGTTATAATGCTTTATACAGATTTGATTATACATTAATAATAAGAAATAACTCTAGGTAATTGTATTTTTTTCTCTGATAAAATTCCAATAATCTGAACACCTAGTTTGTTAAATCAAAATATACCTACTCTACCCACTTCCCAGATAACGTTTCAGAACAAAGAATTTTAGGCTGCATCTCGTATTGCTACAGATCCATCATTTTAACACAAACATATTATGTCTTTGGGATAACTAAAACTACGATTTTTTTTTTTAAATATATAGTTAGAGTAAATGAACAAAGTATTTTCTCCAGTACTAGTCTTATTTACTCACTGTTTATTTACTTATTCGACAATATTCAAAACTTAGTAACTGATGGTAACTCCAGCTGTCTAGGGAAACAGGCAATACTCAGTTAATTTATATGGAGAGTAAAAGTAAAGTTTTATATTTCTGGTTTGTTGAAGGTTTATTTTGTTGTTGTTTTGTGTGTGTGTGTTTTTAGTTCTTCGGGGGGGGGGGGGGATTGTCTAATTTACCATGACAGTGTTATTTTGACCCACATACATACAAATTCTAAGCATGTCCTCTCTCAAAATTCTCTAAAAATGAAACTAAAAAAGGTTCTATAGCTAAAACTGGATTATAGTTATAGTGAGTTCTGAATCCTTCAAATTGTGGTTGTACTTGACTACCTTGACTATTTGATTTAAGCTGAGTTAGGAATGAATTTTGGAACTAGAAATGGTAATCAGATATTTTTTTTGTGATTTCTTTTCTGGTCTTATGTATACATATAAATACACACTCCAAAATCTTTAAAGTCATCGAAAAAAAAACACAACAACAACAGAAAACACCACCTTTTGTTGTTATATTTATTTTTTTAATCTGTGGACAAGGTTTTTATAATCCTAACAGTTCACTGGCCAAACCCATTTAAGATATTAAACTTCTCCACTTTCTGTGTCCAAGCAAAACTGTTGCATGAATTTTCAGCCTTGAAAACTGAACATCTTGTCTTGCTGAGAATGATTTTTGCCTTGCTAACATTTTTGTACGCTTTTGCATGGCTTCAAAATTTAGAATAGACACAACCAACTAGTTTAGAAGTGGAAGAACAAACTTTGTCGAACACTGGGACTAGTTTTGCATTAAAATGACTACTCCGAATGAACAGAAGATTGTAATTATATATTTTTTACATATCAGACATGCATGGTAGAGCTCTGTACAAATGTACAGTGCAGATCTGAAAGTAGTTAATACATAGTAAATATATTAGCAGACTACTTAATTTTTACAGCGTCATCTTTTGATCCATAGATAAATGTTACCAGAAATGTTATTTCACTTAGCCTGAAGTCTTGTTCGCATGGTGTTGCGTTACCACTTCATAAATGCTAGCGTTAGGAATCATAACTTTATTGAAAGACTCTGAAAGAAATAGTGAAAGGAAAGTTGATGGGCTAAACTGGACAAAGCTGGTGTTAGCTACTATTTTCAGAAGTTGTGTAGATAGTGTGTGAGAATCTTCACTGCTGGAATAACCAATCAGAGGACTGAATTAATTTGCATAATGACCAGGTTCCTTATGATTAATTAAATTGATGCCTGTGAAGAGAAGGTAGAAGTACTAGTTTTCTTCTGAACAACACCACCATTCAAAACCTTCTTTATGTTTTGCTGTCTGTATGATAAAGTCAGCAACTGAAACTCTTCCATGTCATGGCCGCAGTGTATCTAATTCTTTGTGGAAAGGGCCAGCTGGGGTAAAAAGTTTTGTGGTCTATTAGCATCTACGTTTGAGATTATCTATGAACTAGAGTGGTGATTGTTGTAAGTAGTGATCCAATTTGCTTACTGTATGTTATCTAATTTTTTGTAGAGCTGAATAGTTCATTTGTTACCTGTCAGGCTGATCTTAATTTTTTTTCCTTTGATCATATCACCTTACCACAGTCTTCTAGGGTATTCGCAATATCTTACTATATATATATATATATTTAATCTAAAAACAAACACAAAGCAAAAAAACTCAAACCCAAACAACAATAAAAACTCTTTGCAGTTGGAGAGCACTCACTATTTACAGAAATGCAAGTGCTCTGAATCTGAGTTAACAATGATGAAGGATATACAGGTTGCTATGTATTACAAAGCAGACTAGACTGGCATTCTGTAAATGCCATCAGAGGTTAGTAACAGTGGCACAAGTTGGATTTGTGTGTGCGTAAATGAATACACAAGTCCCCAAATGAATGTCTTTACTTCTGACTTAGAGAAGGAGTCATCTTTTTCTTTTCTTATTTTTTTTTTTTTTCTCTCCTTCCTTTAACTGGTATTATTATATATCTTTAATCTAGACTAGAAGGCTCAGGCCTTTTTATTTGTGACTGGAAGCAAATCCAAATCCTTAGGTGGTTTGTGGATTGCAGATAAATACTTCAGCTTCGCTGCTGATATATTTCTAGCTTTTACTGCTTCTGTGGCTTGGGCTATTCCTAAAACTATTGCTGGAGTCAAACAGTAATTTGCCCAAGTGCAGTGAAGACTAAGAAAATACTCTGCAGTACTATGAAGCTTTTATAGCATGCTGACTAATAATTGGCCTTCCTCAGGTCTGTATGGACTACGTTGTTTCTTTGCTAGTCTAATAGGTATAGGCTCACTTCCTCTTAGAATTCGACATTTTCTACCAGCTTTGGTGGCTGGGTCACAAAGAAGATGAAAGCCTGTTTATTGTCTTGGATGGATTTTTTGTTTGTTTATTAAAACAAAAACAGACTCTAGAGATAAGTAGGTTCTAGGTGCTATTTTCCTCTTGGTATATTCAAAAGCCTCTAATTATGAATCCAAAGATTGCAAAAATTAAAATATTTTTGTGAGCTTGTAATTGATAACTACTTATATGTAGCTACACATCCAAAATGGCCTGAGCCCACTGAAGGAACAGCAGGCAAAGTTGAGGGGGTTGGACCAATTTTACTTGTTTAAATGTTCGTTAAAATATCTTTTCCTGTTAATGATTGTTTTAAGATTTCATTTGAGTTATCTGACTTGTCACTGACCACAGATGTCAATGTTGACAACTCTGGAAAAAATCAGGAACTTAAAGAGGATTTCTAACCTTCCTTAAAAAGTCATAGTATCGATAAGTTTCACATTCCATCTGCATATACGTTTTTCAAAGGTAAACAGCTGAATCGATCACAATTCACTTTTTATGCTACAAGTTATATAATGTTGTGTTACAGAGAAAGATAGGCAAGAGTCTGAAAACTTCTCTTTTCATTTCATAGTGGTGCCCAGTATTCAGAGACTGTCCAGTTAATTACTGCTCATTTTGTTGTTCTTATCCTAAAGGGTTAGCCTGATAAAGCTTTTTTTTTTTTTTTTTAAATTAATTAATTTCAAGGTACGTCACATTCATTTTTTATTGTTTAAGCTTTAAAGTAGCTGCAGTAATAATAGAGGTGTTGATCATTTTTGATATGTTAAAGCAGTCCCGTGAAAGAGAGCTGTAGCCATGGATGCGGCTATCTTTATAGCCCGGAAAACAGAGAAGAGAAAATCTACATCGTGATGTGTGCTTTGCTAGGTGCGGAAACTAGCAGGTATACATGTAGGGGATAGCAACTCTATCTGTGTGCTCTTTTGGCTGTTACTCTGGTCTGTCACCATGGACAGGAATTTGAGGTTTCTTGTGCCTGGGAAGGGAGCTGGATAGACAGAGGACCCATGGTTTTGTGGTTGATTCCACCTCAATAGTTTGTTATTGGCTGTATAACAACAACTTAGTCCTCTGCTAAAGAAGGTCTAGTTGTTGGCCTGTCATCCTCTGAAGGCAGTGACATATCCTTAGCATTTCCAAGTAAAGCCTAGTGAGAAAAAACATTTTTTTTTTTTGTTTAGGGAAAAGAAAAGGGGCTGTTCTCAGCAAAAAGGAAAAGGCACAAACCCTTTCCTTGCAAAG